TTAAGTAGACTTCCTCTGTAAATCGCTTGATAGAATACTATAAATGTCAGGATAAGATATACACTGTTCAATATCACCTGACTTCTGACCATGGTAGAGGAATTATCTTCGTTTTTCTCATAAATTATTTTAGAGAAAGATGCCTCCGAAGAATAAGTCCAATCGAAAGAACAACAATCCTCCACCGCCGCCACCTCCTCAGTTAGATCCTGCTGTGTTCCAAGCAGCAGTTACAGCCGTTGTGGCTGCCGCAATGTCGCAGATCAATTCTAGCGGCACTAGCGGATCGGGTAGTGGTACCCATACCCTCAATCTCGATAGTGGCCAGGGACACCCGAAGGAGTGTTCCTACAAAGACTTCATGAACGCGAAGCCCAAATCCTTTGACGACAATGGAGGTGTCATTGCCCTAACTCATTGGTTCGAGAAAATCGAATCAATTTTCGAGATCTGTGCATGCCCCGAGGCAAGCAAGGTGAAGTTTGCCGCCTGCACCTTCACAGATAGAGCATTAACTTGGTGGAACAACCGAGTCAAATCCCTAACTCTGCCGGTGGCCAATGCCATGAGTTGGGAGAATCTGAAGGAACTGATGCTCGCTAAGTACTGTCCACAGGGCGAGATGCAAAAGCTGGAGCAAGAGCTATGGAACCTGAAGATGAAGGGTTCCGACATTGTTTCATACACTGCTAGGTTCAGCGACCTGGCTCTTCTGTGTCCCGGGATGGTCACCCCAGAAAGCAAGAAAGTTGAGAGGTACATATGGTGATTGACACCCCCAACTCAAGGGAATGTTTTGGTTGCTAAACCTCTCACATTTGATAGTGCCAAGTGTCTGGCGCATACTCTGATAGATCACGGGGATAATCATGAACCCGTAGCAGCCATTCCTGAACCACTTAAGGAGAGTGGTGGAAAGAAAAAGTTCTGGAACAAACGCAAGGACCAGTCTTCACAAGAGCCCTCCAAGAAGCAACAGACGGTGGCAGTCCACACTGCTACTACTCCTGCTGCTGTTCCTACTGCCCAAGCACCTACCAGTAGATATGCTGGTACCCTCCCAAGGTGCGATAAGTGCAACTTTCATCATCACGGACCCTGCCGTGATATGCAATGCAATAACTATGGCAAAAGGGGCTCACAACTCGTTTTTGCAAGACACCAGCACAACCAACCAACCAAACCCCGGTGTTGGAATAGGCCAAGTATGCTATGGTTGTGGAGAAACCGGGCACTTCAAAAGGAATTGCCCCAAAGTGACGACTGCTGGCAACACATGGAAAGTGCTAGCAATGGGCCAGGAGGAGGCAGTTGCTGATCTCACCGTAGTTACGGGTACGTTCCTCCTCAACAACTCTTATACATGTATTCTCTTTGATAGTGGTGCAGAGAGGAGTTTTATCAGTCATGCATTTAAACACTTACTCAAACACAAATCCCAACCTTTAACCGAAACATTCACCGTCGAGATAGCTAACGGAAAGAAAGAGAGTACTAACGACGTATTTGTAGGATGCACCCTCACTTTAAACGATTATTCCTTTCCAATCGACCTTATGCCAGTCTCCATAAAAAGCTTCGATGTAATCATCGTCATGGATTGGTTGAGCCCCAATCCTGCTGCTATTCTCTATTACGAAAAATCCATTCGCCTCAATCTGCCATCTGGCGAAGCCCTCGTTATCTATGGCGATAAACTCAGCACAAACCTTCGTATCATTTCGTGCATCAAAGCCCAAAAATACCTACGAAAAGAGTGTCACGCATTCTTAGACCATGTCGTAAATGAAAAGCAAGAAAGTAAAGACCTCGAGAGCATCCCCGAAGTCTGTAACTTTTCCGATATCTTTCCCGAGGATCTTCCCGGAGTTCCTCCCGAGCGTCAAGTCGAGTTCCGAATCGACTTAATTCCCGGAGCTACCCCCATATCCAAATCCCTTACCGTCTAGCTCCAGCGGAAATGCAGGAATTATCCAGTCAACTTAACGAACTGCTTAGTAATGGATTCATTAGACCAAGCTTCTCACCCTGGGGAGCACCGGTCTTGTTCGTTAAGAAGAAGGATGGATCATTCCGGATGTGCATAGATTATCGTGAGCTCAACAAACTCACTATCAAGAACCGCTACCCTCTTCCCATAATCGACGACCTTTTCGATCAACTTCAGGGCGCGAGTTATTTTTCAAAGATAGACCTGAGATCAGGGTACCATCAGCTATGAGTCCAGGAGAGTGATGTTCCGAAAACAGCTTTCCAAACTCGGTATGGTCACTACGAGTTTGTAGTGATGCCCTTTGGTCTAACCAACGCACCTGCCATATTCATGGACCTGATGAATAGGGTGTGTCGTCCATTCCTAGGCAAGTTTGTGATAGTATTCATAGACGACATACTTATCTATTCATGAAGCGAGGAAGAACACAACCATCACTTAAGACAAGTTCTAGAAACATTGAGAGCAGAAAAACTTTACGCGAAATTCTCTAAGTGCGAGTTTTGGATTAGGAAGGTAACTTTCTTGGGTCACATGGTTAGCGAAGAAGGCATACATGTAGACCCTTCCAAAATTAAGGAAATAGAGTATTGGTCAGCACCGAAGACGCCCACAGAAATCCGTCAATTCTTGGGTCTTGCTGGCTACTATCGCAGGTTCATCCAAAACTTCTCCAGAATTGCTAAGCCTCTTACCGGCCTGACTCAGAAAGGTGTAACCTTTAGTTGGGGAAAACAAAAAGACACTGTGTTCCAAACTCTGAAGCAAGCCTTGTGCAGCGCACCTATCTTGTCTCTTCCTGAAGGGACAGAAGACTTCGTAGTTTACTGTGATGCATCCAATCAAGGGCTAGGCTGTGAGCTTATGCAGCAAGGAAAGGTTATTGCCTATGCCTTGAGACAGCTAAAGACACACGAAGTCAATTATACTACTCACGATCATGAGTTGGGAGCAGTGGTCTTCGCGTTGAAAATATGGAGACATTACCTGTATGGTACCAAGTGCACTATCTTCACCGATCACAAAAGCCTACAACATATTTTCGTGAGTGTGAAATTCGCTATCATCCGGGTAAAGCCAATGTATTAGTTGATGCCCTTAGCCGGAAGGAATACTCAGGTCGTAAGGTGAGGGCACTAACCATGACAATCCATTCGCATCTGGCCACACAGATCAAAGAGGCTCAGCTAGAAGTCTTGAAGCCAGATAATGTGGCAGATGAAGCCTTGAGAGGAATGGAGAAGAACTTCGAAATCAAGGGTGACGGGGTTCGTTATTTCATAGACCGGATCTGGACACCAAAGTTCGATGGTTATAGAGAGGTGGTCATGAATGAAGTCAACAAAACTCGATATTCCGTTCACTCAGGTTTAGATAAGATGTATCTGGATCTCAAGAAACTATATTGGTGGCCAAACATGAAAGCATAGATTGCTACCTATGTAGGCAAGTGCCTAACTTGTGCCAAAGTCAAGGTAGAGTACCAAAAGCCCTCAGGATTGCTTCAACAGCCAGAAATACCTGAGTGGAAGTGGGAGCGGATTACAATGGATTTCATTACCAAGTTACCCAAGACATCGGGTGGTCATGACACCATTTGCGTAATCGTCGATAGATTAACCAAATCTACCCACTTCCTGCCAATCAAAAAAACATAAAAAATGGAGAGACTGACTAGAACTTACATCCGAGAGATAGTACGATTGCACGGTGTGCCTGTATCCATTATCTCGGACAGAGATAACAGATTCATCTCGCGGTTTCGGCAGTCACTACAGAAGACTCTTGGAACTAAGCTGGACATGAGTACAGCTTATCATCCTCAAACTGACGGGCAGAGTGAGAGAACCATTCAAACCCTGGAAGACATGCTGAGAGCATGTGTTATCGACTTTGGCAATTCCTAGGATACCCATTTGCCCCTGGTAGAGCATGTGTTATCGACTTTGGCAATTCCTGGGATCCCCTCTGTGCTGGGCTGAGCTGGGTGACACACAGCTGGCTAGAGGTCAAGTCCCTGATAGCACTCTCACTGGCCCTGAAATCATTCGAGAAACCATAGAAAAGATCGTACAAATCCGAGAACGACTAAAAACCTCCCGAGATAGAAAAAAAAGCTACGCCGACAAAAGACGAAAACCCTTGGAATTCCAGGTTGGAGACCGCGCTCTGTTGAAGGTCTCACCCTGGAAGGGCATGATACGCTTTGGAAAGCGTTGAAAGCTGAATCCAAGATACATCGGACCATTCGAGATCCTTGCTAGAACCGGTCTCGTAGCTTACAAACTCCGGTTACCCCAAGAGCTTACTAACATTCATCCCGCCTTCCACATATCAAATCCTAAGAAGTGTCTATCTGACGAGACTCTTGTGATTCCACTCGATGAAAACGAGATCAACAAGATTCTTAACTTCGTGGAAGAGCCAGTCGAAATCATGGATAGGGAAGTCAAGCAAACGAAACAAAGTCGCATCCCGATAGTGAAGGTTCGCTGGATTGCCAAGCGGGGACCTGAATTCATGTGGGAGCGAGAACAACAGATGCAACAGAAGTATCCACATCTCTTTCCCTAGTCCATTTTGTATTCATCTTAGAAAGAATTTCGGGACGAAATTCCCTCTAATGGGGGGATGATGTGACAAACCGATACTTTCTAGTCAACAAAAGTCGAATTCTGTTAAATAAAATGTCGAATTTTGTTTATTCCACCAAGCTCTTTTGGGTTAGGAAATAATCTAAAATATATAAATAAAGTTTATATAAGCTTTCGGAACCAAAAACACTCGAAAAATCCAGTTTCCTTCGAAAAACCAGCAAAAAAGTGTTTACGGCCGTAAACCCATTTTCGGCCGTAAACCCATTTTCGGTCGTAAACCCGTTTCCGACCGTAAACCAAGCCGATATATAAGTTTTGCCCGGAGAGATTCCTCATTTTTCATCTTTTTCACTCGAAAATCCTCTCCAAATGCTCCCAATAACCTTCCAAGAACATTCAAATCATCAAGATCAAACCTTCAAATCTTCAAGTTTTTCCTCAAGAACACCAAGAACAGCCTTCAAATCTTCAAAGGATGCAAACCGTTTACAGCCTAAAACCGTTCACAGCCGAAAACCGTTCACCGCCATAAAATACAAGTCTCGGTAACATTCCTAACCCAAAACCAAGTGTTTTCTAACACTTTAATTAATGGATTCACTCATTTAAATACAATTATGTGTTTAATTATTATTAGGATACCATTAATTCCGCGTACTCCAACTCGAGGGTCATCTTTTCGGTTTTGCTGTCGAGCTCGTACAAGTAATCAACTGTGAGTTCATACCTCTACACTTTTACTGTTTTTAACGTTTTCAGGGGGGATACAAGAAAAACACAAAGAAATTTTGTGTTCTTATATAAAGGATTTCAAAAGGATTAAAACTTATGCAATTGATACAACCAAGAGATCACCACATTTTATAAAATATTTAGATATTTTATCCCTTTTGTAACATGCTGAGCATGACGGAAGTTTTTCAACATACAACCATAACTGCAAACTTTTCAGTACAATACATGAACCGAATACATAACATACATGCAAACTATAATAGGTATAGTTTGGGATTCAACACACGGTTTTATCAAGTCCAGAGCTTATACATTAACAAACATATAAACTATGTTAGATAGATATAGTTTATGGCATACATTACTACTTTCTGAGAACAAGAGTACAATACTAAATAATTATTTAAGTATAATTATTTTACTCTTCAAGTATACATACAGTTTCAACTACAAGAGAACAATACAATACTACATTAAACTACTTAATACAGGGTTATGAGGCACTACTTTAATTGTACCCTTCGGGGTGCGGAACTAAATCCTAACACAGTATAACCAGAGTCTCATGGAGGGAGAGCGTGAGATTTGTGAATAGATCTATTCGGGACTGACAATCCCACACCTGAACTGCTAGCTACAGTTAGGCAGGCATGCCTGGGGTGACAAATGTCATAACATCCGACGCCTGAAGAACGTCGTAGAGGTCACTAGGTCATATCAAGCATGGTTATACCAAACTCACAACAGTATAAACTAACCATTTGTTTATGGGATTTCAATTCTTCAAATAGTTTTATTTTCATTAATAGAACTATCATACATTACAACTGGAGGATTCCAGGGGATACAAATACATGGTTTTATTTGAAGTAATAAAACTACTATACATACTGGTGGTAGCCAGGGTTTTCACACAGAACATACTATACATACTGGTCATAGCCAATGTTTTCATACAGAACATACTATACATACTGGTGATAGCTAGGGTTTTCATACAAGGGTTTTCATAAAGAACATACTATACATACTGGTAGCAGCCAGGTTTTTCATACAAAACATACTATACAAAGGTTTTCGTACAGAACATACTATACAATACAACTGGTGTTAACCAGGTAGACAAACTAAAATTCTCATAAAGAACTACAGAATACACTCACGAACATACATTTTGGTCTTAGGGTTTAAGACTACTTTTCATTACTAAAGAAAATATTGGATTTTCTTGAGAACATGCAAAAATTTTATAGATTCACAGATAGGTTTTCAATACAAAATCATACTTATGAACTTACCACCTTTAATGCTGATACTCTTTCAAAACTGCTTGTATTCTCAGGAAACTGGTAGACAGGTACACCCGCAGGTTTTTGAGAAGACAGAGCTTTTAGAGTCACGTCTTTTATACTTTTGGTTATACATTTTTGCTGTATACAAACTATGTATCGAACAGATGTAAATATTCTACTTATTCATTGTAATGGTTGTGTTTACTTTGATTACTATGATGCAATTGTTGTGATACTGTACATGACGTCCTCCACCCCCGAACGTTTCTGCCGTTCCGGTTTGGGGGTGTGACAATATTCCTTAGCACCAACAAAGATAAACATTATGTGAGTTGACTCTTCACTCGTTTGCGTAAAATAACACTAGAAATGCTCAACTTTCGCTTCTCTCGCCGTTTTCTTATCTTTCTCTAAAATGCATCATTCCTTTGCGAAAACTACCCCTGACTTGGACTCAAAAATTCTTGGGAATCTAAAGCAAAGAAAAGTGATAAAACTAGGAAATAAATTAAAAAACCAAATAAAGAGATAAATATCCAAAACAAACCAAAATAAACAAAAAAAAAATATAAACATGTCTTAAATCCAATTGCAAGAAAAGGATAAAACTCTCTCATTCCTCATCATCATAATCATCACCTCTGCCTCCATTGTCACTGGCTCCTCCCTGTCGCTCTCTCCAAAGCTCCTCCCAACTTGGAACATACGGATATGTAGCCGGAAAATGATCGGGTCGATTGAAGTGCATTTGTTCCATCATGAAATCCAAACTCATATTTGTATAGTTGACACCGTGTGCCAAGTTGTCTTGGAATTGTTTCAAAGTTATATTATATGGATCCATCGGGAGCTCATCCTCGGTCGGGATCACGGGTGGTTCATCTTCACCCGCTTCTCCATCTCTCGTTCTCACCCGCCTCCCGTTTTGGTTGCGAGGAGTATCATTAGGAATGGAAAAATTACCCAACCCATTATCAATCACAATATTAGCTCGTTTACACAGAAGAGGGGAAAAAGATTTTTGAGGCTCGATTGTCAAAAACATGGCTTCACGCTTTTCAAGAATGCCAAAAGAATGTGCAATCCGGGTGATCAACATCCCACCATATAAAGGAGAAATGCGGCGATATTTGCCCGCCCGAATTGAGAGAAATTCTGCCAAAAGGAATGGGAGGTCCACATAGATATCGGGAGTGATGAGGGCCCACAAGAAAAACACATCCAACGTCGGGTCCTTGTCCCCCTCTTGTCGTTTATTGATTGTATTCATAATTAACCTGTGAAGGAGGTGATGGAAAGGTGACCGAATCTCGCTTTCTTGTGGGGTACCCTTGTGGTATGTGCCATTTTCAATGGTTGGCAAATAAGTAGCATTTTTGAACCCATCAGTGGTGTGGATGCTACCGGTAATAAACTCCAAATAAGAGTTTGTATGGAATTCAATTGGGAGATAAATCTCCGTCCTCATGGCGAGCTCGGCAAGGCTTAGCTCTCGCCTTTCTCCTCCAAGACAAAATGTAACATTTCCGTTCTCGAGCGCACCAATTTTCCTTCGAAATGAAACCGTTGCTAAGAATTCGACCACCAACTCTTTATAGACAATCTCTTGGATATCGAACACCCTCCTCCATGCCATACACATAAACCTTCCTTGCACCCCATTACAAGATTTAGCCAAAAATGGTTCAATGCCTTCTAAGAATCCAACTTGCTCCATCCACACTCAATCAACTACAGCTGGTACATGAACTTTCCATTGTTTCATCCACTCAAGCTTTTCGTTCCATTGTGTAAGCACCTCGGGACTCACGACACGAGGGAAATTATACCAAGGAAAGTCGGGGTGACCCCCGGGTTGGTTCCTACGAGAACGGTTGGCCATGATCTGTAAAAGAACAAAAACAACAAACCAAGCAACAATATGCAAGATTAAAAATCAAAATCAAACAGATTATGCCCAAAAATTACCGACCACGACGAGTCGTTGTGGTCGACGAACTGTCGAGTATTTTCGTGAAATTTCGAACCAAAATCAAGCCATAATCAACTATAATCAAATCAAGGGTTTGTTTAGGGCATGTAATCGAGTAAGTTAACAGCAAATGCAAGTTAGAAACATAAAAAAATTGGGTCCGATTTTGGCAAAAATCAGAACCTTAGTTTTTGAAATCGCCCCCTAAAACTCATTCTAATAAGTAAATGTGGATGAATAACTCCTAGAGACTCAATTACCACTAAGAAAATACCATAAAAACGTTACCTTGTTGGTAGAAGGAGTCGAGAAAGTGAAGAAATCGACGAAGGTTCTTTGTGGGGAGAACAACACGGCGAGGAGATGGGGTGGGTAGTGAAAAAGTAAGAAAAAGTTTTGAGTGTGAAAATAAAAACCCCAATTTTTGACTGAGATAAAACCGACAACATGTCATGTTGTATCCACCACGTCGTGGTGTTTCATTGAAAATCGTGATTTGGGATTCTATAAAGTCACCATGTCGTGGTGAACAGTACCACGTCATAGTGTTAAAAATAATTCTATTTTGGTCAAATTTTTATAAAAATGTTCACCCCACACTCATTCCATGCTATTCCCCACATCGAAATCCAAATAAAAATTCAGAGGAATGAAAGAACAAAAATTGAGCAAAAATAAGTAAAAATAAGCAAAAATAAAGAAAAGTAAAGTAAAGAAAAGAAAATGCAAAATAAAAACCACAGGTTGCCTCCTGCAAGCACTTCTTTTTGGGGAGTCATGAGCCAAACTCCCTCCCGCTTCACGTTGATTCGGCTCGTGCAAATTGGACAATTTCCCCCTCTTTTTCTTCAGTTGGCATGCCTTCTTCGTAGTGATTGACCCAATGCCCATTAACCTTAAAGGGAGTTCCATCTCTTGATATTAACTCAATGGCTCCATGTGGGAAAACTTTTTTCACAATAAAGGGACCATCCCAACGAGTTTGTAATATTTCGGGAAAGAGCTTTAATCTTGAATTAAAAAGTAGAACTTTTTGCCCCTCGTGAAAATTCTTGTGCCCTCTCAGCCTCGCATCATGTCATTTCTTTGTTTTATCTTTGTAGATGAAGGAGCTAGTGTATGCTTCATTTGTTAATTCTTCAAGGGCATTCATTTGCATCAAACGGTTGGTACGAAGCTCAGGCAATTCAAAGTTACAAGTCTTCAAAGCCCAAAATGCCTTATGTTCGATTTCAACCGGCAAGTGACAATTTTTTCCATATACCAACCTATATGGAGTAGTACCAATAGGTGTTTTAATGGCCGTGCGAAACGCCCATAGTGCATCGTCAAGCTTTTCCGACCACTCCTTTTTATTACCTCCAACCGATCGCTCTAGAATTCTTTTTAGTGCCCGGTTTGTGACTTCGGTTTGTCCACTCGTTTGAGGATGATATGATGTTGAAAATCTATGGTGTAAACCATATTTTTGTAACACCTTGGCCAATTGATCATTTGCAAAGTGGGTTCCCCTATCACTAATAAGAGCTTTTGGTGCACCGAATATTGAGAATAATCTTTTTAGAAAACGAACCACTACACGAGCATCATTTGTAGGTAATGTTTGTGTCTCCCCCCATTTAGACACATAGTCAACTGCCACCAATATATACTTATTCCCACGAGATATCGGGAAAGGTCCCATGAAGTCGATCCCCCAAATATTGAATATCTCAAAAACTTAGATGTTATTTTGGGGCATCTCGTTTCGGGAGGAAATGTTTCCCGACCTTTGGCACGAATCACATTCTTTGACAAATCGAGTTGCATCTTTAAAAAATTTTAGCCAATAAAAACCGGAATCGAAGACCTTCTTTGCCATGTATTGTGCTCCATGATGTGCTCCGGTGGACCCGCTATGGCAATGTTTCATGATCTCGAGACTTTCTTTCACGAACACACATCTTCTTATAATTCCATCCGCGCAACTTCTGAAGAGGTATGACTCATCCCAAAAGTAATACTTGATTTCGGAAAATAATATCTTCTTATGTTGTCGAGTCAATTTCTTGGGAAGGTAATCACTAGCCACGAAGTTAGCTATATTCACATACCAAGGTACCTCTCTCGCGATCACCATCAAATATTCTTTGGGGAAGTCATCTCCAATCTTATTGTCTTCCAACTTTTCCAAGTTCGGGTTTTCTAATCTTGATAAGTGGTCGGCCGCCACGTTCTCCATTCCTTTTTTTATCTCTTATCTCTATGTCGAATTCTTGTAAAATGAGCACCCATCGTATCAGTCTTGGTTTGGCATCCTACTTAGAAAAAAGATACTTAAGGGCAGAATGGTCAGTAAACACAATTGTTTTAGATAAAACTAAGTATGGGCGGAATTTATCAAAAGCATAAACCACAGCTAGAAGCTCCTTTTCGCTAGTGGTATAATTCTCTTGGGCCGGGTTAAGAGTCTTACTTGCATAGTAGTGATGGGTTTTGAGCAAAACATACAATCCTATGTGTGCATGCAACCCTAATTGAAGATTTACGTTTTCTCTAATTGAACATACAATAATGAACAACAAAGTATAAACCCTAGATCTATGGATAATAATCAAAAATCACATAAGAAGGGTTATGATACATACCTTTAAGATTTTTATTGTAAACAATCTTGAATCGTTGCTTGAAAGACCTTTGGTAGCAACTGAGACAAGTGTCGCACCTCTAATGATTCACAAACAAACTCAAGCAACCAAGGAATACTATAAAAGAAAGAGAGAGAGAGATAAAGGAAGAAGAATTTTGGCTCTAAGCCTTTTTGAGGAGTGCATGGACGAAATCTAACCCTAAGGAGGGTTTATATAGCTATTAGGAATGTATTAGTGAAACATCCCAAAAAATATGACCCAAAATTTCGTTTTCAAATCATTATTAAAATCATAAACCATCCAAAGTCATAAATAAAATCATAAATCATGTAGCATAAAACATCATAGTATCTGTCTCAAATCAAAATCTCATAACAAAACATCAGAGTAAACTCCCAGCCTGTGACTGTGGTGTGTACCATGCGATCATCCCGATCCCTTCCCTTTGCTAGTGGAAGTACCTGAAACCAAAAGTGAAAAAACTGTAAGCACGAAACTTAGTGAGCTCCCCCAAACTACCACACACCATACAATGACACATATAATCACATATTGGGCCTTGCCCACTGCATCGGGCCCCGCCCGCCGTCGGACCGAAGTCCGACATAAATTGGGCCCCGCCCACTGCATCGGGCCCCGCTCGGCATTAGACCGAAGTCCAGAATAACTTGGGCCCCGCCCACTGCATCGGGCCCCGCCCGACATCGGACCGAAGTCCGGAATAAACTGAACATAACATAAACATGAAAATATAACATAATCACATATACTGCATCGGTCTTGCCCGGCATCGGACTGGAATCCGGAACATATAACACATATCATAAACATGCATGAACCACGAAGACATCAAGCATACATAACTACTTCTCGGGACCGCCCCAGCATCGGACCGAAGTCCGGAACTACTATCATCTAAACGAGACGGCATTGTGGCCGTAGACCTGTTCCTACTGGAAGGAAACTCACCTCTCAAACTGACTGCTGAATAACTCGTGCAAAGTTGACACCGTCGGATGTTCCAGCTACTCCCCGACTATAATGACCAAATAAACATTTAGTCAAAAACTGATGACTCTCCTATGGGTAAAATGACTTTTTTACCCCTCTGATCTATTTTGGGCCATGACCTAGGCCCAATCCTTTCTAGTCCTCACTAAGGCCTATTAAGTCCCCAAATGGCCCAATTTTCTAAATTTGGCCCAACTCTTCAAATGGGCTTTCCTACCAAGCCCACTAATCCTTAGGCCCTTAACTGGCTCCTAAAGGCCCATCGCAGCCCATCACTACTATATCCAGGACTTGGCCCAAACCAAAGCCCAATAACAAAAGTCCGCTGTCTAAGCGTACGTTGGGCATACCTCTATGTACGCTGCGCGTACTGCTGAAAAGGCTTGTACGTTGAACGAACCGGCGTGTACGCCAAGCGTACTCTCCTGTTAAGCACTTTTCTCGAAAACGACTTAATCCCTTAACACCCTACGTCCAAACTACAGATCTGAGTCCCATGCTTCATCCTAACCCTTAAAGTTGATCACTTGGTGGCTTGCAACCCACAAAATGAGCCCAACACTATGAATAACAATGAACTTCCATAAAAATGGCTAGATCTCATGCATGGCTTCACAAAAGCCTCTAAGCTTCCAACTTTATGGCTAAAGGAACTCATTGAGCTTCAAGGGTGGGAACCCTAGGCTCAAAATCGAAGTTGCGAGGTCAAGATCAAATCTTTGGACCTAAAAAGGTCCAAATCTTCAAAACCCTAGATCTAGACTTTGAGGAGGAAAGGTAGGAGCTTTATACCTCCTCTTGGTGCCAAATGGTGAGCTTGTTCCAGATCCTTGAGGTCAAGGTACTCAAGGGCTTCTTCTCCAACCTTTCCTTTCTTCTTCCAAGTCCTTCTTTGCCAAAAATAAGCTCAAAATGTCAAACACACACACAAGGAAGAGTATGAACGAGTTAGGGTTTCTCTGAGGGTGATGGACAGGTGAGGAGGCTAAAAGGGGAGGCTATAATGATGTATTTATAGGTCCTTAACCCTAAAATTAGGGTTTAGCATCTGCCTGCGTACGCTGGGCGTACCTCTTGGTTTGTCGTGTACGTACCCGCGTCCCT